AGCTAATGTAGCTAGCAAGTAATAGAAGCTTACATCCCACCAGTTAGCACTGGGCAAACCTAAATGCATGTCTACATCATTGCATACTTGCTTCAAAGCATGTTGATTTGATAAGTAATCTCTACTAGACTTTATGTGCTTTCTGACTCTGTGACTTACTGTTATTAATAAAAATGGACAGAGGTGTATGTTCCATGGCTATTAACTGTGGTAGCAGCCATTTTGTAGTCTGAGGAATTGGACATGATTTAAGGCAAGTATGTGATGAATTAGGCATTTTTCAATTCTTTTAATGGAAGCTTATAAGCTTGTATTAGTGGTCGACTATGCACATTAGGCCAGGGCTGTTCAAACTTTTTAGATGTAAAGTACCTCATGGATCTGGTTTGTAACTAACTAACTGACTGACTGACTGACTTACTCATTCCCTCATTACTCATGTTTAGCAGGCAGAAAATTCTCCACAAGGGGGTGCTATTAGATGGAACCACATCAAAATACCTGCAGACCAGTCATACTTTGCCAAAATATGATTCATAAATAATTCAAAATATGAAAAGCACAAAGGTATAGAGAAGTTAATGTTTATTGAACTATTTAATTTGCTGTGCAAAAGGCTACTGCTGAGACTCCAGCTGCTGTAATTTCTCTGCCTGCTCGTCCCCTGGCCCCTGGATATTTATTGTAATGTCTGTGCTTTGTTTTATAATATCTGTTGATATTAAATTTCTTCCAGTCTTGACGTATGAGGCACAAGCTTTTGGTATGGCTCTAATTTCCATCTCTCTTGGAATCGCCAGTTTTAACTGTCAACCGTGATTACTGCTCTTTGGCTGTAATCACGACGAAATGGCACTCAGGAAATTAATGAAGGTCTAGTTCAAGTTTACGGTAATGCTGCCACTGTAACGTGAAAGGAAAAACTGCAATGAACTGGCTGGCAGGCCATCTACAATGCATTCTAAGAGGGAAGCTGCTGGCCAGGTAAAGTCTATATGCAGGCCATGTTTGCCATATTTGACTTTGGATGCTCCTTTATTAGCCTTCCAGTGCAAAACAAAAGAAGGAAACTTAAGACATCAAACATTTTGTCTGAAAGACTATATTTGTAATAAGGACAAAATTATGTAAATGTGATTTTTGGTGAACTATAACTTTAACTGTGCTGCCTCTGTTAGCATTGCTGAGCCTGAGCCTTGGGGCTGCAAGCTAAACGCTGTCTATCTAGGCAAGTAATAACAGAGTTAAGTCATTTGCCCTCCTCCTACTGCAAGAGAGGGATGAAAGAAGGAAAAAGGAGAGGAAAGAAGTATTTTTGGTGATAGGATGCTTAATGTGGATTACTTTGTTGGTTTCAACTTGTCTGTGTTCTCTGACCTTAGTGCTGTCGCTGTGAAGGATAAGAAGCTTTTTAGACATGAAGAAAGTGGAGGGTGTGGAAGGAGCAGCCTGGGCCTGCTGTGAGCGAGCACTAGAAGTGCTGTAATCCATTCTGAAGCTGTGGTTTTGCAGGCCTTGAACTGCGGCCAACACTCACAGTGACGTGCGGCTTTGAGGCACACCCACAGCCGTTCTTTTCCACCCCTCCCCCATCTCGCACCCTTTCAAGATAATACTATCTGCGTTGCTGTGCACTGATTAATAATGTATCGGTAACGACAGGCTAATATGGCTCATAATTAATGCTACTGGACACCAGTTAGCATGATTGAACTAGCACCAATTAGGTCTGTTTATTATTAGGGTCATTCCACCGCAACTTACCTAGGGCCTGTCTGGTCACATTCATGGATTTTAATGAAAACATTCAAGCAAAAACTTCTATTTAACTTTTTTTTTTTTAAGTTTTCTCCATTAGGTTTTAAATTGCATCTTAATTATTGGGTCTAACTGCTTTCAGACTCATTGAACTGTGCTGAAATATTAACTGGACATAAATACAACATATGGATATGCTGTAGTGGGTATAAGTTAAATGTAACTAAAATGTTTCATTTTAAATCACTTTTTCACTTTAAACTGGTTTGATGTTATAAATTCTTACAACAGTTTAATTTATTGGATGATGTTTCATTTTTAGGTCATACTGTTCAATATTTCATTTTCCAAATGGAAACTTTCAGTCAATTTTTAAAATTATTTTTGAAAAATGTAGGTTTTATGTAGTATTTCTACTTTCCTACCCATGTCCAAAGAGTTTCTGAAGTATATGACTGTTTAGTGATTCAGTGTTCTCCATGGACAGATCCTCAGATGACTCTACAAATATACACAGATGTCCATGTTTAATGTGAATACCTATGAGGATGTTTATATTGAAGACATTTGTGTATTTATGCTATTCAGAGCTACTTTTAAGTATGCAAATGTGTCCACACGTCTGACAGACAGAGGCATGCTTGACCAGAAATGAACTTGATTCAGTTCCTCTGGTTCCTAGTAACTTCCATTCTTCATCACTGTTCACAAACAATAGAGATTTAATGCAGAGCACTAACATTATGCTCGTTTCTCTGCCTCATGAACATCTGATACACTTCTGCATTTACTGTGACGGCCATCGGAACATCTGAAGTGTGTGTGTGTGTATGACTAAACTGTGTGTTTGGCTGCAGTGTGGTCACTGAGTAACTATACAGTTAGTTACTGTTATAGTGACTACACTGTTATATTACTGTTAAATTATCAACACTCATGCATGCACACACACACACACACACACACACACACACACACACACACACTGATGTAATGTCCACTCCTTACTTTGCTTTCACATTCTTTCTGTTGCTCATATTGCTGTCATCTCTGATTCAGACCACAGCGATTTAGCACTTTTTTGTAAATATTGCTCAAGTGAACAAGTCTGTTGTATGAGCATGTGGCCTGAGGGACTGACAGAAAGACTCATCTGGGAAACTTGTAGAGTGGAGTGTTTCTAAAAGGACAGCAGTGTTTGCCACAGGTCTGAACTAAACCTGGGCGGAGCATTGTGCTGGGTAATATTCAAATACATACAGTATCCAAACTTATTTAATTTCAAATGGAATAAAATATGCTAGGGTGACTGTCAGTATATTTCGGGGGGCTCTCCAAGTATAGTATGTGAGAAACACTGGACAGAAAGCATGAGAGAGGGAGAGAGACTCTCAGAGAGAAGACAGGCAATCTATAACTTACCCACCCTCTCAACCTCTCTGTTTTCAATGCTAGGCTAGCTTTAAATGGTGAAACCTTTAATGACACTAGTTACAGGTGCAAGTTTTGTAAAGCATATTTTCTGTGCAACTTAACAGCCACACAAACCAGTAAAAAAGTAAAAGCCAAACATCAAAGTCACATACAAAACATTAGGTGAGCTCTGTGCACAACTGGCCTGTATGAGAGGGAGAAAAAACACATGAAAGCGTCTTGAGTTTACCAGAAAGCATCTGAGTGACCCAGCTAAAATGTGGGACAAGATTTGTGGTCAGATGAGACAAAATTCAAAGCGCTATGTGTGATGCAAATCTGATACTGCCCATTCCTCAACAAACACCATCCTAACAGTGAAGTATGGGGGTAGCAGCATCCTGTTGCTAGCACTGGCTACCAGCAAATTTAAGTTTCACTATCCCAAAAAACCTGTTTTATTCTGTTTTGTACAGATCAGTTAGTGTCCCAGTGGCTAGAGCTATGAGGAAAGAAGTGCAGGTGAAAATGGTGACTGATGATTTCACAACAGCACTGTCACTCTAATCTTCTCACCGCTGTGAGATTTCACACTGTTTTCTAGCGCAGGCCTGCAAAGCCAATGCAAATACAGAGGCTTCCCATGTGAGTGTATGAAAAGCTCACTGAGAGCAAACAGAGCTTTCATACTCAACTGTTACCGCTTTCAACCACAGCACTGTCCCAGACCCACAGGACTGTATGTGTTTCACTAGAACACAGTGAAAATGGCTTTAAATCTTTAGACCACACTGACACTACAATTGTTTATTTGGTCACTGTCTGCTTTAAGTTCACCAGCTCATAGCTTTGCACATGCATGGTGGCAGACTTGAAGTTCTTGTTTCGTTTCTTGGTATTTAACTGTGAGGTTGCTTGATGTTTTTTTTTTTCATTCTGTCTCAGGAATTTGAACTATAAGAGCTGGAAAGTGTTTAGAAATGTTGAGATATGATGGTTTGGCTGGTTGCATTGTGATGCTTTGACCCAAAGATGGCTATTTTTTAATACTTTAGAGGGACACTCTGGCCAAAATGAAAAATGTAACCATCACTCCATCTGTTGTAAACATGTCTACTCGCCCCTTACAGTGATGAGCAGTAGCTGCTAGAGTGAGATTTTTTTTATTTCAAGACTAAAACCACCTCCTGATGATATATCTTGAAGGTGAAAGTAAACTGTGAAAGACTACAAATGCTTTGTCATGAATACTTGGGGATTGGCTGTTTGATTTTTTTGCACTAGCTAGCCAGTTCTCTGATTTATCACTTTAACAAAGAATAAAGTTTACCAACCAACTGAGGTGAGTGTTTGTACATCACTCATGCTAACTAGCACTACTGACATTGAGCACTGTAGGGATTCCCAATAATTGTGTCATATATTTGCATAAAGCTTGCTGGGTATTGTAGTAACACAACACTTTGGGACAAAACACACATATAGGATACAAAATCCTAAATTCTGTCAAAGTGATGAGTCTGTGAAATATAATTGTGCAGTACAAAATACTGCATAACATGTCAAATAACACATTAAATGCTAATTTTAGGCCAGAATGCCCCTTCAAAATCCCAGGCTTATTACATCAGGCTTACTATTCAGTAATTACATAACCTGCAATGAAAACAGGATGTATTTTTAAGTCATAGATGTGAGTAATAAAACGTTGGACCTGCTGGCAGTTCCTGGCTCTTTTATTCCCTTTTATCAAACATGAAAATCCAAGAATTGTATTCCAAAACACTTTGAGCTGATGTAAGTGACTATTTCTTCTCTCTCTGTTGTAGGAGGCACATGTTTTTATCAGCGCCTCTAGTACAGATGACGTGACAGAGGAAAAGGTTGAAGAAATTCTGGCAAAAGTGCGTCCGCCGATGGAGAGACTGAGAAGAAACTCAAGACCGACAGAGAAAGAAGAGACAGTGGTACCTTAACATACACCATTAAAACTAATGGCACTGAAATATTTATTCTGTTGAGAACAACAAGTGAAGCACAGCTGCTTTGATTTCCTTGCTTGAGCTCACTTACCTCATTCACAGGGCACGAACTACAGGAAGACGAACGCTGCCATGGAGATGAAACGGATTAACAGAGACTCCTTCTGGGCACGAGCAGAGGTACAACCAAACCCTCAGCCTTTCAGACTCTCTGCAGTATCTCTTCAGTCTGAAATACAGAGAAAACATTGCCTTTTAAATTTTGAATACATCCATTGTCCTGTACACGTACTCTGCCTATCAGGTTTGGGGACACAAGATTTTTTTTAGTAAATGAGCATCTTTACCTTGTCAGTTTGCAGTAACTTAACATATTTAATAGGAAGCTCTTGCCATTTTTCTGAAGGAACTGAAGGAACAGTGGACAAAAGGTCTAGTTTAATAGGAAGAACACCAAGGCCCACACATTTTATCCTCCTGTTGTGGTCGCTCATCAGCCCTCAAACCTTGCAGCTGTTTAAACGTGACTTTGGGCTCAAAGAGTTTAAATATGTGCTTTTAACAGTGTTTTTTTTTTTAAAGAAAATGGTCAAATCATTATTTAAAACCTGTTTTACGTTGAAGGAATAGTTTGAGGTAGGTGTGTCTAATAAAGTAGACAGTGAGTGCACACAGTATTTTTAAAAAAAAGCTCCAGCTGCACTGCTGTGTCTGATCTGTATCCACTTGTACCAGAGTCTATCTGTGGCCCTACACTTCAGTTCCCCTCCTTACATGACCTACATATTACTTTCTAGTAGTTTATAGTAGTAATATCCTAGTAATTACATAGTAACTATACAGTAATTAGGAGTTACAAGAGTAATAACTAAATATTAAGCCTATGGTTCAAGGAGTTCATTGCTATTACACTTCCCATGCATTAGCTTATTTTAATACTAATCCACCTGTAACCAATGTGCCAGCGTGAGGAAGAGGCGAGGAAAGAAGAGGAGAGGAGGAAGGCTGCAGAGGAAAGGAGGCGCCGGGAGAGAGAGAGAGTCCTGCAGGAGAGGAAAGAGGCAGAGGAGAGGGACAGGAAGATGGATGAAAAACTGCAGATGATTGAAGAGCGAAGGTCAGCAAATCTCTCGCATTCTGAATGAACCACAAGATACTGCCTTGGTTGAGCGAATGTAACAATTAATGTTACTATTTTCAATGTTTGTTGACTTTTTTTTAAAGGAGAATGGAGGCCAAGCTTGAAGAAGAAGCGAGGAGGCGGGAAAAGACTCGATGGGTGAGTATTAAAGTGACTGATTCTATGTGTTGAAAGAGAAGATGCTGATTTTCACTGCATAGTGATTGAGGAGTTGTATGTGTGCGATGGACAGGAGCTGCAGCAGAGAGAGCATGAAGACGAGATGAGGGCTCGTCTCAGACGCAGCGAGTCCATAGAGAAAGCTGCTGTGAGTGTCTTTTAAATGAACAGGCTTTATCCAGGGATGTGGGAAGTAGGGGTGGTGAGGGTCTGGCAGCACCCCCTGATTTCAGGATTGACTTCTACTGCTAAAAATAATAATAATAACAAAAAAGATCTGAACTTTAAAAGACTTTGAATGTAGCAAAGGTCTATGTGTGTTTGTTTAAGAGAGGAGTTGCCGTACGTTCTGTTTGCCGTAAATAAGATTAAAAAAAAAATCAAATGGAAAAACGTCACCACTCGCATGACGTATATGCTGTTTAAAATTTTAGCACCCCCTATTTACAACACCTTCCCGCATCCCCAGCTTTATCCACTTCCAAAGATAATTAGTAGTATATGTAGTGTGTAATTTTCAGTATTCAGCTCATTTGGTGCTGATTCTCTTTCCACCACTAGGAAGCAGCAGCACTGGTTTCTCAGCGTTCCATGAACCCACGGGAGTTTTTCAGACAGCTGTCCTCATCATCCCAGAATTCCTCCAGCCCTGTATCCCCCCGCTCAGGTGAGGGTCTTTCTAAACCATGAATTAAACCTCCATGACAAATCTCATTTAGACATTTTTCCCCTTTACTTCAAATGACAGGACCGGCTCAGTGGTTTTTATATATTATAATATATTATATTAAACCATTTATCATTGTGTATACCGCTTCTAAAGTACAATTTAGGGCTGAATGATTTGGGGAAAATATCTTTGTGATTTTACTGCCCAGTACTGCAACTCAGATTGAAATTGTGATTGTTTTCTATGAATTCAAGTCCAGACCTGTTTTTTTTTTTCTTTTGGTGCAGAAGACCAGAATATTCACTTTTTGAAAACTGGTTGCTTTGGATTAGTCTAACTCCTTTGCACACAGTTCTAGAAGTTCATTGCTGTTAATAATGTAGGAGGAATTAAAATTGCAGCTCTTGTAATTTGAAAATTACACTGTTGAACTTGCTATTTGATATAAAAATATTAATCTTTCAGCCCTAATACAGACCAAATTCAAGTTCTATTCTACTCCTGTTTTTAATTATGTGACCAAGGCTTGAACATCTGGAGGCCCTTAATCAAAATCTTTTTTGGTGGTCTTATTAATTTGTATGCAATAATAAATATTTTATACTTATTCTTACTTGCAACTTATAAGTTGAATACATGCCAAGGGAAACATAATAAAAATATTATACACACTGTTAGAAAAGTAAGTATTAGTCTCTCAAGGTACAAGCAGTGCAAAGGTACAACATGATCCTTAAGGTCCAACTGTGTACCTTATATGAGTTTTAAAGGTACACTACATATTAAGTTCCCAGGAGAAAGGAGCAACTTTTAAACAGAAGAAATCAAATAAATGTGTGGATTCAATGCAAGACTTAAAATGGAGAGAGAAAGAAAAAGAGAGAAAACACTTTAATTGTGAACACAAATAATTGTGTTCCCTGACTGAAGGTACCACAAACATACCAAATCTATTTGAGATCACCCAACAACTTGACATGATTAGTAACATGACTGTAAAATGATTTAGGTATGAAGTTCTTATGAAGTTCTTATGAAGCCGTACACAAGTATGTTCTATATTATCTATATTATTCTATATTAGCTTCATAGCTTCAAAACTAAACAAGCAAGCATGTCTGGCTGATCAGCGACATTTTGAAGTAGAGGAAAATTTGTACATTTGCTTTAAACACATAGTAATATATAATAGATACGTTTTTTTTTTCTTCATCATAAAATATCCAGGCAAGCCTCCATTCCGACGTTACCAGCGCAGTTTGACAGACACGGCCTTCATCTTCGAGCGGGCCAGTGCTGCCAGTGGCTCCACTTCTCCGCTTAGCCCCACTCTTACCTCCCCTTTCTCTCGCACGCCAACCAGCCCTTTTAATCGGGCAATGTCCCCCACCAGTCCCACTTTCCGTCCGGTCACGTCTCCTCCATGCCCTCGTACCCCTGTAAGATCTCCTCCTACATCACCGGCTCAGCGGTCTGCTCCACCTGTGGCCTCTCTGCACAGCCCACCAGTCTCCAGACCACCTCCTCCACAGTCCTCCCCACCATGTCTGCCTGTTTCTCGTGCTTCCGCTCCCCCTGTATCTCCAGGCCCGCAGGCCAGCATGGCTGAGAGTGAATCGTCCAGCCCAGGTGTTACCAGGCAGGAACCTGCTGCTTTTCCAGAAGCTCCTACTGCACCCCTGCCTGAGAGTCCAGTTCAGTTTAAGGGTAAGCTCTAAAACGTTTATACTGAATAAGTTCTTTTAGTGATGGGCATGCTTATTTGAAAATACGGATTACTAAGCATGCAGTTTAGAACTGCAGATGTCTTTGTAGTATTGAAAAACTAAGTTTATTTCAAACTTCTTTCTCAGAACCTGTTGCCAACACCCGCATGTTGAGTGAACTAAAGCCAGAGATGGACTTCACAGTCAAGGCTGTGCTGGTTGAAGAAGAGGAAGAGGAGGAGGAGGAATCAGAGGAACCATGCACCATTTCCTCCCCACCTTCAGAAACCAAAACAACCATGAGCTGCCCAGATGTAGTTGAACTCGAGCAGCCCACTGTGCCAGTCCAGCCTGTGGTCAGCTCTCTTGTGGAGGTAGAGGAGCCTACAGAGGATGAAGAACCAGAGCAGGAGCAGGAACTGGTTGAAGAGACTGAGGAGTTTACTGCAAGTGTGGACCAAGCAGAGCTTGAAGCCTCGGCCAGTGAAAAACCAGCCCTGGTGGAACTCCCAGATGATGAGATTGAGGCAGACATTACAGATGACACAGGCAAGGAGAACAATAGTACAGATCTCAGTTCCAAAAAAAAATGTAAAATGGTAATCAAAACAAGATGAATGATTACTAAACTCTATTTGAACTGTATTAAGTTGAAAACAGTACAATAACACAATATTTTATATTTCACCTTATTAACGTCTTGCTTTTTTTTTTTAAATATACACTCATTCCAAATTTGATACCTGCAACACATTTTAAAAAAGCTGGTACAGGAGTAGCAGATACCACTGTGTTACATCACCTTTCCTGAACAACACTTAATAATCATTTGAGGACTGAAGACACCAATTGATCCAGTTTTGAAGTGGAATTTTATGTTATACAAGTCTGTATGGGACCTTGATTGTCATTTTTGCGCTTCATAATGCACCACACATTTTCACTAATACACCCCCCATGCTATGACAGAGGCTGGTTTTTGGACTTTATGCTGGTAACAGTCTGGATGGTCTTTTTCTTCTTTGGCCTGGAGAAAACAACGTCCATTAGTTCTATAAACAATCTGCAAGGTTGACTCATCAGACCACAGCACATTTTCACCATGCATCAGTGCATTTCAGATGAGCTCGAGCTCAGGGAAGTCAGCAGCGTTTCTGGACAATGTTGACCTATGGCTTCTGCTGTGCATAGTACATTCTTAACTTTTATATTTGTAACATTCATAGATTCTGTGTCGAATGGTGTTTATTGACAATGGTTTGTCAAAGTATTCCTGAGCCCATGTGCTGATATCCATCACAGAAGCTTGCCCATTTTTAATGCATTGCCATCTGAGGAACTGAAGGTCATGGGTATTCAGCTGTAGTTTTTGGCCTTGCCATTTATACAGAGATTTCTCTGGATTCCTTGAAACCTTTTAAAGTGAAACTGCACTGTAGAGGGTGAAACACCTAAAATCGTAGCAACAGCTTGCTGAGCAGTGTTGTTCTTAAATCGTTTTTTCACTGACTTGTTTTTTGGCCAAGTGCTGAGCCTCAACCCATCCTTGCTCCAGGTCTTTTCTGGATATATTGCATCACCTGAACATATCAAAGCGTTCTGAGTCTCAACCCCTTAAAATCACAGGCTTATTACAAACTAAGACTTATTATTCAGTAACTACAGGGACTCCAATGCAAACCGGCTAAGCTATTTTTAGGGGGTTTTTGGAATGTGTTGCAGGCATCAAAGAATGAACGAATAGTTACAAAAAAATAACTTTAAATCATGGAATATCTTGTCTTTGTGTTGTTTTTGTTTAAATACAGGTCAGTGTGGCTTTATAGATCACAGCTTTCTGTTTTTATTTGCATTTTACAAACTGTCTCAACTTTTTTGAAATGAGATTTGTACATGGAATATGAGGAGGTTCTGGATGGTTTGTGGTTGTGATGTATTTTAACATCTCTGTCATTATGTTTGCAGAGGAGTGCGTGAAGGCATCTGAGAATGGAGTGACTGAAGAAGAAAAGCCAGACCAAAATGGTGTATGTCTTCAGAATGGTACAGGTAATGTAATATTATTAAGCAAGATTTTTTTTTTCATGATACCATATAGTGTTGAATTTCTGTTTGCTTTGGTTCTATATTCCAGCACACTGAGACATAACAATGACTTTGAGGTTAATGTGCAGAATATCAGCTGAAATTCAAGGGTATTTACAACTTTATTGGGTGAACCATGTAGGAATGATATCTCTATTCATGTATAGTTCCTCAATTTCAGGGGACCATAAGTAATTGGACAAATTAGCATCATTTTAAAGAAAATGACTATGCATGGTTGCAGTTGATGACTGCCTATATTCTGTAACATCAGCAGACATGTTCTAGCATGATGCCCTTTAGTATGCTGCCACCTTCAGTTCCTGGCTTAGGGGCCTTTTTTGCCTTTACTCTTATCATCAGTAGTTTAAATGCATATTTAGTGGAATCTTTAGAGCTGGAGAAGAATTACACCCCTGTATAATGTTCTGGTGAGAAAGAACTTCATTTATGAATGTCTCTGTCTCATCACTGAACTTTCATTTTCTGTTTTATTCTGAGCTTGCTAACAGATCTCATTCTGCTGCTCTTTAAACCCTGCACCTTGCAAATATAGTGCGCAGTTAGTAGGCAGACTTGCATGTTGTGTGATTAGCTGGGTTACACAGTGTGAGATCAGCTCATGCCCAATGTTTGATTTACTCCCAATTTTTTTTTAAAAAGTCTTGACTCTTAATTTTATCTGTTAAAACACTTACTTTCTGATTGGCTGTCCTGTATTGTACCTCATTCAGAAAGCAATCCAGGCTGAAAAAGTCCTTTTCATGTGAATCAGCAGAGCTAAACTGCTGTAGAATGAACAGCTGTATATATTTAAATGTTTTAGTTTTGATGACCTCACACAAACAGAGAGCTTGTTTATGCAGCTTAGTTTCCATATATGAACTGCATGGACAGAGGAGTGAACAATATGTTATGAAGTTTTATCAGTGTTTACATACTACAGCAAACTCATATTTCATAAAAACAAGGATTTTAGGGACTTTGATGAAATACAGACACATTATTAACAAATTGTGGTAATAGTTGATTATCAGCAACATTAGAGTAAGGGTTAGGTGTAGGAGTAGGTTTAGGTTTTGTGTTGAATTTAAGTTTAGGTTTAGGGTCAGATTTAATAGAACCTGTCACACTCAACTTCAAGTTCAGTTGCATTTAACATATATTTGTTGAGTGTTACTTAAACTCAGATTGAGCAACTGCAAAGTGTCCACAGTGGACTATCAAATTGCAGTGTTACCAGTTTTAGTTTTCCATGATATGTGGCTTTAAGTATAGTTTGTGCTTTTTTCACCCCTGGCCTTATTAAATCGAACATAAATTTTCTACCCATTGAAATTAAATGTTAAATTATTAATTAATATTTAAAGCACATTTTGCACTCTCTGCACACACAAGTACATCCAACCCTGAGTTTGAAGCATTTGGTTGGATCTGAGCATTCCAGTCAGATCTTAATCCCAGAACTATAAAGACTTGGTGTGCATATTTTAGAAAATTGAAACCTTGTCTTTACAGCCACAACAAGTGGATGCATCTTGTGGTAAACTGCCTGATGTCATGCTGATTTCATCATGACTAAAATATTCTTCGGTTATCCATTTGCTGTTGTTTCCCGTGATCTTTTGTGGTTGTTTGCTGTTTACTAAGCTCGCCCAGACATTTTGGCTTTTTAACAATGTACCTGATTGTGATGCACTTAACGTTCTGGCTCTGTCTCTGACTGATTTCTTCTGACTTTCCAGTCTCATGACAGCCTTCTTTTGTGGCATTGACACTCTTTTGGTCCTTATGTGGAGGACCAACAGCAACAGTGCATTACAGATAAAAACGCCAAATCTAGAGTCAAATCTACACCTTTTGTTAGCTCTTCTGTAATTAACCAATTACACTCCGCTGGCCAAGAAACTAATAAGCAGCCAACTGGCCAGTTGCTTAAGTGCTCTGGAATGTAAGGCTGCTTTCTAACCTGTAATATCTATAATTTATAAGGGTTCTGATACCTATAGGGTTCACCCTGTATAAATGTGATCATTCTTAAATTAAAGCTGACATCCTGCAATTTAATTTTATAGATTATTTCAAATCCATTAACCCTTATTCATCGAAGTAGCCTAAAAAGAGTGCAGATCTGACCACCTTTACTTATGTACAAACCACTCTCATTCATTAAACTGGAGTTTTAAGCACGGCTTCAGTGCGTGAAATCAAGGGCAGGCATAATACCACGACTGGAAAGAATAAAATGTAAAATAAACAAAACAAAAAGGCTGTAGAACGATGTGATTGTGCGGTGTGATTATTTTCTTAAAATAACACTTTTAAACACTGTATGATTGCAGTGTATGAGATGCTTCTTTTATTTTTTGGGTGGTGTCAATAGTATAACACAAAAGCGCAGTGTAATATGTCCTTAAATGGAACATAATAGCTGCAGCGTTTGTTAGTACTAATCTGCATATAAAATAAGTACATCCACTTGTGTATTGGATAGCCATGCGCTCAAATTATTAGTATTCCTCCTATTTTTTATTCTTATGATTGGTATTATAGATATTGATATTGCTCAGATTTTCATGCCCTCCTACCAGGTGTATGTTTGATCACACAGATACGGCAATGATGAAACTGATGAATAACAAAACTGTTGGTGAAATTTACACATACTCATGCTGGAGTATAGAACCAAAACAAGCAAACATGTCACTGTCCAATTACTTATGGACTGTACTGTATATGTCCTCCATCAAGCCAAGGAATATGCTGATTCCTCTGAGGAAAGCACACCAGAGAAGTGTACTTACATAGTCAATCGTGAGGAGACTGATGAAGAGGATGTCCAGATAGAGGCATCAGAGAACGGAGAGGTATGTTTTCAAAACCCAACAATTCCTCAATGTGTAGTTTCATTTTTTTGCCATTCATTACATTAAAAAAAAAAAACAGTAAATGCAAAAGTGCTAAATCTGTAGACATAAACAAGCTGCTTCTTTCCTACAGTTAACAGCTGGCAGGCGACTCCTGTGTGTGCGAGCACTCTATGACTACCAAGCAGGTCAGCATTGCCTTTTCTGAGTTTGTGCTCATACACAGCCATGGTAATTTAAGAAGAAAAATGGGTAAAAATGAATTAAATGAATAAAAATAAGATGACTTTGGGCCTCACTCACCAACTGTTCTTAACTAGAAATTTCTTCTTAATACTCACTTATGCAGTTTTCACAAAGATTCTGACATTCACCAGTGTTTTCTTATTTGGGATTTGCACAGCCAAGAGCACAAAGGTGCAAACAATTTAGTGGTTTAAGGACATCATAAGGATCTTAGAACAAATTTAAGAAAACAACTTAGGAAGTTATTGGTGAATGAGGCCCATTGTTAAAGTACAGTTTATGCAATTACTGCACACGTTGTTGGTTACAGGCTCTTTATAACTGGTCTAAATCTGTTTTATGATCCATGCATGTGTTCAGTCTTCTTGGAGTACTGATGATGCCCCCAAAAACAAAATGTATCACAGAAATCAGAACATCATAGAACATCATATCGTCATACTGCCCACCTTACATGTGAGTACTCTGCTTTTCCACAGAGGATGACAGTGAGCTTTCCTTTGAGCCTGGTGACATCATCAGTGACGTGGAAACCGTGGACAAAGCCTGGTGGCGGGGCTTCAGCAAAGATGGCCGCCAAGGTCTCTTCCCTGCCAACTATGTAGAGACCATCTAAGGACTTTTGCTTTTTACCAGAGACAGTCTTCCTCATGCCCTTAGATTCAGTACCAACCCTCAGGGACAGGGAAACTTTGACCAGTAGAGGGAGCCAAAGGGTGCTCCTGATCTGCTGGATAAACCTTAGTGGAGGTACTAAGAGAACAAGGGAACAAAAGACACATCAAAAGGATCCAGGAATAAGGCAGATGTCCAAGATCAGAGCTTGGCCAAGGTTGGGTGAGGATTATGAGGAATTTACCTATTCACGCTCCGCCCACAAATGCGTTGTTTTGTTGTAACTTTTGTGAGGTTGGAAAAGCTTTACAGAACATTGGCTAAAATCCCACCTAACCTAATGAGGCACTGTTGCACACAAGCCAAAATATGGAAAAGTGAGTGCACTATTAATTTCAAATTCTTTTTGTTTTGTATGCATGTTTAAGGTCAGATTGTTGGATCGGATGTAGACTTTTTGTCGGCAAATCAAGGTAATGTTAGCATGTTGGCAAATTGGTCTGGTTTACATTTGCCACAACATAGTCCAGCTCAGTAGCGCGGCATTCTAAGCTGGAAAGTCAGTGCTATCCTGCAAATCAGAACTTAATTTGGTTCAGTGGGATTTTTACCAGCATTCTGCAAAGCAGTGGTCCCCAGCCTTGGTCCTGGAGATCTTTCCTGCAAAGTTTATGTCCAACCATAATCTGCCACACCTGCTACAGATAACTAACTTCTAAATAAGTCCCTGATTGGCTGGATCAGATGCATTGCTGTTAGGTAAGGGGGTGTGGCCAGCATGATAGATGCAGATTGGAACTAAACTCTGCGGGACATTAGCTTTCCATAAGTTGGTGACCACTGCTGTAAAGCTTGTCCAGTCTCATAAGAATATGCTGCGTTTATTTGTTTATAAGTGGGAGCTTGGAATCTTCCAACTCAAAATCAGAATTTTCATGCAGCTTCATGCAAGTCTGGAAAGAAATGGACGATCACAGTAATGTATCACCTGCTTGGCTGCTACTTGCGCAAAAAATCTTATTTTAAAAGCATTTACATTTGAATTAAAGCGCTGTTTGGTAAGCGCTTTATTCGTTTTAAAAGTGGATGTAGGCTATGGCAGTTTACTATTACAATAGTGCTGAAAAATGACACAAAAGGGTGAGCGTCTTAACCTTACACTTATCCAAGAATCCCTGTTTATCAATATTATACATAAATAGTACATCATATACAGAGAGAAACACAAAAGACTGTTTAAAAAATGTAGCTTACAGATAAACAACTTGGAGAAGTCGAAGCTCTTGAGAAACTCTGACTTTCCAAGCGGGAATTACGAGTTAGAGGTCAGAAAATTCCCAGTTCCCACTTGGTCATGAATGCAGCAGTAGTTACGAAAGAATGCATTTGTGGGCGGAGCATAGCGAGGTCAATTGCGAGTCAGGTTGCTTGAAGCTAACCTGAATGATCTACAGATGATTCTTCTTCAGATTTTTCTTTACTTATGATTTTGCTCTGCAGAATGTTTGACTGTTGGTTATGTTTCTAACATGTAATCTAAGTCAATCATGTCCTTTTAATTAATTTGATACTGACTGATGTATGACTTTGCAATGTTAATGTTAGATACAGTAACTATAGGCCTACATTAGAACTGCATTTAGAGCATGTATGAATTCCATTATTTCATGTTTGTTATAGGGATGTTCCCTATATTTACTTACAAAGGTTCTATGGTGCTGCTGAGCAGATTTTGATCTTTTTTTATATAAATATATATGTTCTGTGTTATAATTGTTACAGTGATGATATCCTTTTTTTCTAACCTACAGCTTTTTAAGACAAAATAAGATGCTATAATTGTTCATGTATTATATTTTTGGAGGAAATGGACTTGGGATCAGTGCCCTCAAGAGTGAAATATTCACATCATTCAATACAGGCTTGCTGAAGTTTTGCAACATCATACCAAATATATACAACTGGCGTGCGTAATCCACAAAGAGCTACAGTTGCCGTGAGACTATCTATTCAATAACTTTTATAGCATGAATTTCAGTAGCTCAGCCTATTTTCAGACTAACTTCTTGATGGTTGTTTTTTCTTTGTGATATAAAATACTTCTACATAGAGGTTCAAGAGCAAATTTCAACTCTTAATGTCTTAACTCTGGTAGCTTATTGTTCAAGCCTGTACAGCCAGTTTTTTACTTCATTATTTTCTATCACATATGTTTCCACACTTTTCTCTGATCCAGCACACTTTCATGTTAAAGGTATTAGGTAATTGAGATATTCGGTGATGAGTATTGTTATTCATGCAGCATGAATCCTTTTTAATCCATGCACATTAACTTTTGGGCACTCATATTATGGAGCACCAGATGCACACTTTTCATATCGTTTGTTTATCTGGAATATCATGACTGTCATATCCAAAAAACATGTATTTTGTTGCATGAAATTAAAAAATTTGAAACGAAAAGATTGAATGTTTCAGTAAAGGACTTGGACCGTCAGATGTTCATCATTGTTCTTTCCTAACAGTGTACAGAGAAGCATTTGAGAGGTAATATGATTATTTGTAATTACTTGTAAATCAAAACTGACACAGAGTTAGTTTCTGCTTATTTAATGCTTTTTAATCATTTCATTTCTATCATTCTACATCTTGAATTAGTTACCTCTTCAAAGACAATGTGCATGCAGACAGCCTGACAGGACACTCATCTCAAGGTTAAGTTGTAAAGCTATCTACCAGGATAGTTAGTTCTTTACTGTATCTTCTGATAAAATCTCAATATAGCTGTATTTATAACAAAATCAATATGGTAAAATACAGTTTTAACAAAAGCATTTGTTAAATTACAAAACTTTACAATAGGAAACACTGCGTGAATGAATTTACAAACTTATTTTAAGTACAAGCTGATGGCTCTTAGCAAAGAAAAGCAGTATTATTTAATAGTTTTGCCTCAACATAGTTATATGACGTTATCTTCCATATAATTCTGAGCAGAACGGCTTTTAACGCCACTTTCATCTTACCGACACATTTTACAGTAAACACACAGCTATTCAGAAAAAATGCACAATGAACCACCACACCAAACGTTTGTTACTGAGAATTCCTGCTTTGCATACATGCAGTTGTTTCTTATGTACTGCAGTGCTTACAAAGACTGCAGTATTTTATGAATTGAAACGCCTGAGAATCATATACGCTACGATAAAGTATTCATATCATCATCTGCCAATGTTTACTGGATTGTTTAACTGACTATATCTAAAATTTTAGACAAGGGCAAAATGTCAAAAATGACAGAACAAGTTACTAAGACATTTCCCATTAAATTCACCCTTTACATCATATCGTAAAAGTGCAAAACTGGCTCATAGGCCAATGAAATACAAGGGGAGGGGGCAGTAAAGGTAGTACGCATGTACCAACAATGCAAAAGCAAATCAGGACCATAACTTACATGTCACGTTTGCATAGTAATCAAACATTTTTGTTTATAATGTATTTAGCATGATGAAAAGATTTTGAGAAACTCATTGTCAGTGTAAAATCAGCCTACCTGGAAGAAGAACTATGACTAAAGGAAGAGAACCATCCTGGACCATAGCTATTAAAAAACAATAACTGATACAGTTGTATGCAAAAGTTTGGGCACTCCTAGTCAAATTATGCTCTGCTGATTTTGAAAACTGAAGTGAAAATAAGTTACACATCCTCTACAGAGAACACACTTCTGCACATTTTAATGCACAATTACTGTTTGCTGAATTTAACATATTGGGAAAAACTAAAACATAAAATGTGGCCTGTGAAAAAGTTATGCCATTTTATTTTTAATTTTTTTTGATTATGTTAAAGTCAGCAAATAAGTAGAGATTATGCACTAAACTTCGCAGTGTACATTTGTCTGGGGGTGTTCAAACTGTATCGTTCACGACTGTAAATGTCCTAGAGAAACTCATCCGTGTGCAGCCGGGTCGGAGTACAAACTGAGGAAAAAGTACTCACTCTGAGGTCATCACAGTTACAAGTAGTACATGGAATCACATTTTAATCATGTATTATCTGAGCAACTTACAAAGCTTTTTGAGATTCACTAATACTTTTGCATATATACTTTAGTTACGCAATGACCAGTTCACAACATTAACAGACTGACAAAACACCTGCTTTGTTTTGAGGCCCCAAAGTATTTTTTTAATTATGAGTGATGAGAAACCTCATAAAAAAGTAGTCTGTAACTGATAGCTCCATATGGAGATTACACTGTGTGGGTGCATTTAGTTTTACTGTTGTATCAGCAAGTAGAGCTTATGATAGCTTTTAAGTTAATAATTATATGCTAAGTGAACTCCACTAAATCCTGTTTTATTTTTCCAAACACAGCTTCTATTTATAAAGCAGCTTATGTGTGAAGGCATACCAGTGACATCAATGTTGAGAGCTTCACAAGATGCCAGGTTGTGAGACGTGTGTGTGAGGTGTGAAATTGGCCACACTGAGAAGATTACTGAAAACTACTGCGCCAGTTCGGAGATCTTTAGCCCAGTTTGGAAGACACAGTAGGAAAACTCAGATTTACAAGGTCTATTCTAATAGAAACGCTGCATTCTACATTTTGAGGTCCAGAATTGCAGGTTCTTGCATGTAGTATAAGTGAGTTATGTATAAATAACAGTCCATCTACCATGGTAGTGACCCAGTTGAGAAGGAAATCTCCCATGAACGCTTGCGTTTGTCACATCTTCAAATGCGAGGGCAGTCACATGTCCTCAACCTGAGTCATTCCAGTTCTTCCCAGAGGTTGCATGACAACGAGCTGGCCCAAGTTAAACATGAAGACTGACTTTTAAAGTGTAGACTCCTCTTGAGAAAACCAAAAGAAGCTACACCTGACTCTGTAGCCAGTTTCTGGGGTCCAGCTTTGCTCTGAGGTTCCTCAGGCTGCGGCGGGCACCAGATGGCCGAGAAAAGGCCAGATCTGACTCAGGGCTGTTGCTGCCCTCGCTGGAGCTGTTGCTGGACGTAGAGCTGGAGCAGGAAAGAGCCGTTTGACTGGGCCGAGGAGCAACTGAGCCTGCAGAAGGAGCCTGACAGGAGCACTGGAAGCCCCCATAGCCCCGCTGGGCCTTGAGGGTGGACAGCTTGGCGTCCAGGGAGAGGGTGCGGGGACGGAAGCGGCCGGAGGGGAGGTCGCGGGGCCAAGCGTGATGTGAGCGAGGGCTGGTGCTGCAGGGACTATCACTGTCTGAGGTCAGGCTGGCGTCAGAGGAGAGCAGGCCGGAGGGGCTGCGGGGTTGGCGGCTATGCAGGCGGGGGCTGGGAGTGTGAGGGGAGTGGCGTGCAGTACGATGATGATTCCTGTGGTTTTGAGGGCTTCCAGGGGGCTCCTCCTCAAAAAGTGACATCCAGTGAGGTGGGGCGTCCAGCTGAGCTCGCAGCTCAAGCTCTTCAATACGCCTCGCCAGGATGTCAGTGACTGTGCCTATGTCATCAGAAGTGTCAATAACTGCAGGAAGGACAGGAACATAGAGCTGTTACTTACTAGTGCTTTGAACTAATGCAAACTGATTCATTTTTTTCTCCCATCTATTCCCAGCATAACCTCTTAAACTGTAGACATATTATTCAGCTATTAAATTTAAGGCTTATTATTTACTAACTATTATGAAAACTAATATTCAGTTATTAATCTGTTACTATGGTTATTTAACACAGTTAATTCACCTCAAGATTTATTTTCAGTAACCACTATACACTGCTATAATTAGGATTACAAGTATTTCAGAGAGATTAAATGAAATGTGTGCCCATATATGGGCCATTGTAGTTTACAGAGTTTATAATGTCCAATTTCCAGTGCAATCCCCCATCACAGTACAGTGTGATTAATCTGCCAGAGCCAGAGATCTAGCAAATGGTTCCATTAATGAAAACCTGTCACTAAAACATTTAGTTTGCGCTGTTTTGTCACAACACCATGCAGGATGCCAGGCCAGCTGATACATCACTTAATTATGCACACGAGAGAGACTCTTCCAAGGAGAACATGACCACCCTGACAAAACCCAACAAATGGTACTTGAATTCTAGCTGCATGGTTTATCTGCAATCCTGATTAATGCTTTCACCAAGTGAAGGGTTATACCACCCTGGGTGGTATAACAATTTGTAAAAAAACTGAGCTTCATCAGTTATTCATTCAAAGCTATGAACACCAAATGACAGCTGCATTCACACTGCTATTTATTAGCAGTTAGTTTTTCAAGTGAACCTGAAATCAACACAGGCTTTTTTTTCTTTTCTTTGTTAGTTCCCTGGTCAAGTTAAAAGTCCATAATTTTGTTTTCCTGAAATCTTCTTTAAAACATAATGACTTTAGCTCTAAAACAGGGGTGTCAAACTCAACCACTAAGAGGGCCATTTTAAAAAATCTTAACAAATCTGTGGGCCAGGAGTACATATGTTTTATTTTATATTAACATTTTGCTATAAACCAAACCATTGTTTATTCAAAATACACAAGAACTTCAACAGTAAAATACAGGCACTTTAAATATTACAAGAACACTTGAAATTTTTAAAATTCAAATATCCCCAGGTGATCGGTCTTTTAAAGCTACCTATTTGCTTGTCTTTGCTCCAAGTTCATTAATTCTTTGGATCAATTTCTGACCTGCTGCGCTGACGTTAAGTGATTTTATTGGCTGAACTGCAGTTAGTGTGTTTGGTGATACGACTGGTGTGGAACTATACAGAATTGTGTAGAACTGATGTGAAACTGCTGTCCCATAGATTGTTGTTGGGGTAGGAGAGTTGGAGCACACAATGTTGCAGTGCATTGTGAAATTAATAATATATGTATGTTGTATTATTAATAATATTAATAATAATAATAATAATCAGCGGGTGGGGGAAAATAATAAAAGCTAATAATAGCTTTTATTATTATAAAATAAATAGTTTCACCTCTCCTTCCCATAATGGCTTTAGAACTCAGACCTCACCTGGTTAAAGCTGAATTGTGGGTTGTGTGGATCTAGTTCATCATTTTGCAGATCCGAATGGAGGAGCCACATACAAACCATGATAAAACACTAATAGCAGCAAGCTACCATTGTTTATGGATTCACCTTAGATCTAAATTTTTATTTTTGGGATACTGTATTTTATTATGCTGTATGTCATTATACTATGCATATTACATTGTTTGGCTTCATTTCATAAAAGCAATAGCTGCTTGATTTTGACTGGCAGGGGGTTTAATTTCACGTTGAATGCTTGTAAACATAAGCCTTTAACCACATTAAAAGCAACTCATTCTCCTGAGTTGCTTGTTTTTACCCGCTAAGCGCTGTAAGACTGTGAACCATAAGCCTCGAGTCTCTTCATCCATAAAGCGAAATGCTGTTTTCACAATGCGTGAATCGAATGGACCACAAAACCACAAACAAACCATATCTAGACGACTGTGGGAGGTGCTCCGAGTTGGGTTTGTTTGTGGGTTCTGATGTCTGAGTTTGTTGGAGTCACTTGAGAAGCTAAACCTGTCCAGTGTCTCAGGATCCCTCAGTATAGCACAAGGGCAAATGAGATATTTTGAGGGCAATTCAAAGAACAGACAGGCTACAGACAAAGGCCAGGCCAGGACACAGTACAGAGTTTAGTAGCAGCAGCAGAAGAGAGCTGTCCGAAACAACCACTCTGGTTACTTCACCTGTCGCTGTAATAGGAGGAGAGCAGTGCACGGATCTCAGCAGAGACAGCGTTATCCTGCAGCAGCAGACCCTCGCAGGATGGAGGGGTAGAAAGAGGGGGTGCTAAGAGGAAGGATAACATAACCACAGAAGGGGAATACGAGTGGGGAGGGCACGGTTTGGCAGGGTTGTTTATTTGTATGGTGAAATAAAAGAAGATGTGTGTGTGGGTTGAAGAAAGGTAAAAAAAAAATATGGTGCGATAGAAGTCGTGTGAATTGAGTATAAATATAGTCAGTGATTCAATGAACAGAGAAAGAAGGGACATGAAAAGAAGATAAAATAAGGAAGTTGAGGGAAAGGAAAAAGGACAGTGACAGAAACATAGCAAAAACAAAGGAGGAAAGGAGGGGAGAGACAAAGAGAGACAGAAAATCAGTGCGTCAGAAATTCTTTCATCTAGAGCGACTCAGCTTAGGAGGGGTAAGGTTCGAAACAAGTGCACAAGCATTATCGTTTAACGACAAGGAAGCATGTCTGCTCTTTTTGAACGTAGGTTATTTCTTATCCCAAGATATAAGAGAGATTACCATGTACTATATTTATTCTCTAAACTGAACAGAGTTAAATGCTGCAACCTCTTACCCATCTCATGGTAGAGAGAGCCCTGTTTGGCTGTAATTAGAGCAGGTTTGCGTGGTGAAGGCTGGTCAATCTTCATCAGCTCGTCACAGCACTGCTTCCACTGACCTGTAGGGGGAGATAACGGCTCAGGCAACCAAGCAACAGAGTGCAATCTCTCAGTTTTTTCTGCATTCATCTAATAGCACTAGAAAATTACCTAATGTTAGCAATATGGTTTTAAACACACTCACTGTAGCTCAGTGAGTTAACGTTTACAATAAGGCTTTCTTTGGTATCTTTTTGAGAGCACAGAACAGTCATATCACAAGCTGTGTCAAGTGTGTAAGATGTTTAATAATACTAACGATGTTTTTGAAAGGTAACTTAAATATCATGTGACACTGTTACACTGTGATACATTTGGAAAATATCACTATATTTAATTTTATTAATATCACCTGCCCTATTTTGTGCTTTAACAGTGTTTATAGGTATAACACAGGAAACTCCTATTTTACAAATGATATTGGCACTTTAAAAATAATGCAACTGGTACTATGAAGGCTTAACAAAGAAATAAGAATAAGTCTACACTGTACTGTACGCATATGTGAATCTACATCTGATCTCTCACTCACTCATGTCAAAGAACTGCTGCCAGAAGGCCTCCATCCAGCGCTGTGTGTCCTCCCGACAGTCTGTGGCTAATGTGTGTGTGACCTCTTCTCCTCCGTACTGGTTACTGATGCAGATGCTCTGAGCTTTGCTGTGAGGGTCTCTCTCTGCTGCACGTATCCTCGTCTCCTATGACACACGAACACATTAAAGCTATTAAACATATGTCTCTTTACAGTCATGTGGGCAAGGACAAATAAGGCGACATCTGGCAGTTACTGCCATAAAAATTGTTTTACTACGAACAGTAAAGGCTACACAGAACTTTGAAACCATTTACAGAGTTTGGCAAGACGTCTGATGTGGATCTATATACTTACTGTTGCTCTGGTGGAATGAAAAACAGAACTGGCCTTTTCAAATAACCTTTGAATTGAACTTGAGATGGACACATTTACTTTCAGGGGTGAAAATCTCTGATCTGACAATTTGATTGGATTCAACTTTTCAGGTACAATTCAGAAATGCTCTGAATACTAGGTATGGTAATCGTGGGCTGATGCTGATAGCTGATATTTTTCACATACATCTGCCGATGATGATACATAAACATTTATGTATGTAAAACTCAGCAAATAAACAGTAATTGTGCGTTAAAAAGAGCAGAAGTGTGTTCTCTGTAAAGGAAATGTTTTCACTTAGCAAGTCAACATAATTTGACCAGGGGTGCCCAAAATTTTGCATACAACTGTATACTTGGATTAGCAATACAGAGAAATATAACATTTATTTACATAGTCATGGGTTAGCAACAACAACATCGTACGGGGGTGCATCTGAAAAGTCTAATTTTATTTTGCCCAGAAAAAAATGCATACATTTGTTATTATATGACTATATTATTTTATGATTTGAATGTTTTAAAACGTATGCACCTGAACACCTCCAGACCAATACTTTATGCATTTTTAAAACGCTGTTTACATTATCATGTCTTGAATTCAGTGCAAAGCTTTTTTACAGTGCCACCATTTCATCCACACATGGCAGTTCCTCATTTCCCCAGCAGATGGAAGCAGAGGCTCATTAGCATGCTCACAGGTTCCTCTACTTCTCTCCAGAATGGGCTCACATGCTTTGTAATGGAAAACCCACAGGGCAGACTAACTAACTGACATCTTTTTGTGTATCTTAATGTGACTCAAAATAAAAGACTACTCAATAGTTCATGACAAACTACTCACTGTTAGTAAGACCAAACTCTGAAGAGCTGACACATCAGGACCTGTCATGACAAACACACCGTCTCCCTGTACTAGACACTGACTTCATAAACTCTGAGTCTGAGCCACTCGATCACACGTGTATATAGGAGTGTGTTTGGTTTACACTGAATAACTGCTCACTTTGTTGATGCCGATAGTTAATAAGGGCTCCACGTTGGCCTCAATGTCTTCTTGCCGGCGGTAACAGAAGAGGTTTGTTCCTTTTAGGACGCCATAAACATTCGTCCATCCTTGGGGCTCCCCACCGAGCTGGACAGAGTGAAAGTATAAGACATTAGAAATCTGAGCAACAGCAATGTGAACCAGTATATATGTGTGCATGATTGCGAGTGTGGATTTTACCTTGACCCTGAGGCAGCCACTCATCATCTGGTTTGTCATACAGTGAGGCTGAGCTGCTAGACGACAACATGCACTGCCATACAGCGGCAACCAGTACGAACACTCCTCTGTAGAGGGGAGAGAGGGGGAGGGGGGGATATTGATTAAAGGGACAGTTCTGACTTTACACATCAAAATTAAAGTCACTGTCCCTCAGCTCTTTTCCTATTAGACAGGCTTGACTTTGGGCTTAAGTTATCTGGCTAAACTGAGAAATCCTGCTTTGTGAAATTCACCCCAGGAGAATGTTTCCTTTTTTGTAATCATCTTTTTGCTGCATTTATCAAAAAGGGGAGAAGGGATAGGTGTGCAGGACTGTAACATACACTGTTAGGTAGAGTTGGGCAAAAAGTAGTGATGGCTGAAAACTGAATAAAGTGTCCTGAATGTATGGCATTTCATTACAATACATAAAAAAGCAACATATTTAGAATACAGACTGATGAGGCACATAAGAGTAGTTTTTATTTGGTGACATAATCAAGAGTAAAAACCAAGAACTCCAAGAGATGGAGCAGTAGGTATGTATATATATATATATAACTCAAACTCAGCTTGACAAAAAATTAACATGCCCTGAGTTTAGCAGAAAGACTAATATTCCACGTTATTTAGGTGTATACTCATCTATCTGTCTATGATATAGACACTGAATGCTGTACCAACAGTCTGAATTACATAAATGGGTGAAGTTTATTTTTTATTTTCCGTGCGCGCTCTCTCGCTCTCTCTCTCTCTCTCTCTCTCTCTCTCTCTCTCTCTCTCTCTCTCTCACGTATATATATATATATATATATATATATATATAGACAGATAGATAGATAGATAGATAGATATAACCAGATAATATAATATATATAATCTATATATATAACCAGAAAGCTTATGTACATGTGTACAACCTTGGCCTGAGAGTGTCTAAGTAGCCAGTTGCTGCAATGCATCTTGGAAGTTGTTTTCAAAATAAAAGCTTATGGAGACTTCAGTGGGAATAAATGTGTGCACTTCTTGGGCTACGGTGGGCCAATTTGAATAATTTTTGCATAATTATTTTTCAGGGAGCCTAAACTGTTTAACAAGCAGTTCTGGTTCTAAATATCAGTATTATTATTATTATTGCTTATCAAAGCACCAAGTTGTTAATAACCAAATTCTTGCTTTCTTCATTAGTACTATAAAAGAGCCAAAACAAAGCTAACACTATGGGATCATTTGAGATTAATCCAGCAAAAATTAAATATAAATAGCTACCCGTGAGCATCTGAAAGACTGTTAACATGCCTCCTTACTGACACTCTCCCATTAACCAGACGCTACTGGCAATTTATACTCAGTTTTATGAGTGTGACCCTGACGTAATAAATTTGACAGACACTCACTATTGCACACACACACATACACACACACAACCTGCACACAAATTTAGGCCCTTAGCTGCCTGGCGTCCCAGCCTGATTGCCTCTAATAGCCAGATAACAAGCATGCTGTAAAACTAATCTCTTTTAAATCACTTCCTGATATCCTCTAAAAGAAAAATTGAAGTGTTATCGTCTTTTGATCAAACACAAAGCCTAACCTTCTGTCTAGAGCCACGTACATTAATCCCACCCATCTTATAAAAGAACAAAGTAGAATATTGCTGCTTCACAAAGGAGAAAAGAAGAGATCAGGAAACAAGAAGTAGAGAAAAGGTAGAGGACAAGAGAGAGAGAATAAGTATGGCAGGAGAAAGAGAATAAAAAGACAAAAGGCAGAGTAGCCAGGAGTGATGAGAGAAGAGGAAATAAATAAGGAAAGGTAGAAAATGAGGGAAAGAAAAGGAGAGAAAAAATTAGGCGATGGAGAGTAAGGAAAAAAGGTAAAGTATAAGTACATATATAAGTATGTATAAGACGAAGAGAATAAGAAAAAGAAAGATATATATGAGAGGAGATAAAAAGTAGAGGAAAGACAGAGGACAGATATGTGAAGTGTCTCACCGTTGCCAGTAATAGTGAGGTCGTGTGTGCGGAAGCTGTCCTGGACATGAGAGAGTGTGAGGGTGGTGTGCGCCAGGAGATGATACTTCGGTCCTCTGTGGAAACACACACACATGAAAGTGAAAATACAGTAATTGAGACTTCTGTAATATGTACATATGTAAGAATAAGTGCTTCTGTAGGGCCCGACCAATATATTGGTTGGCTGATAAGACCCAACACAATGTCTCAGTAATAGGGTGACATCTTAGACTGTTATGCTGCTGGGCAGCTCATTATGAAGCACTCTATGTTTAACTATAATTTCAGTAATACAAGCTGAACTGGTGAATCTGATACAAAATATATAATATAATATATAAATATAAGAAATATAAAATACAGGTAATACAAAAATGCATCCAAATCTAATCTAGCATGAGCATAACATGTTATAACAGAAAAAAACGCTTTTATAAAAAGAACTAATGAAAATTAAGAACAATAAATGGTGATACGAGATTATTTATAGTGATTACATTTTTTTGTGATAAACAATATGCTTTGCTGAGTGAACTGTGGATATTGTCAGCACTGAACAACTGCATGTTTCAGTACAGACATCATATAGTTGTCAATCGTCTGGCAGGTCCCTCTGATCCACTAATAAATTACTGCTCACTGTCCCACACTCTCGAATTAAAGCCTAAGGGAGATTAATGTGAGATCTGCATCAGCTTTAAGTTTAAATCTTGCCTCAAAACTAAGCTATTTTCCTTGGCCTGTGACTGCGTCTATTTTGTGTAATTTTATGTGTCCAGTTATTAATCCAAATTCATTTTTTTAATTTATGTATTACTTCAATGTTGTCTTATCTTTTATTGTTTTGCTGTTTAATTGGACAACTTTTGTTCCAACATATTATTTATGCTGCACTGTTAGGATGTGGTTCTATGATCAAATTTGCCTCTGTTTGTTTATAAATGTTTTACTTGGTTAGCTGAACAGCACTTTGGTCAACTTTGGCTATTTTTAAATGTGCTACAGAAATAAACTTGACTTGGCAACTTCTAGAGTATAACATTATACAGGCCAATTTATCAGTATCAAACACAAAACTTTCTCAAAAAGAGAAAACCTATGTGCCCTCATGTTCAGTGAGTCAGTCATATACAGCACCATATCTTACTGCTACCTTGCTAAGCTAAATTGCTAAGTTTAAACAAATCTGGTCCAATTACATATTTTGTTGATTTTCTAAGCAAGTCACATCCTCCACAGGGAACAAACTTAAATATGGCAGTATCACAATTCTGTGCCAATTTTAGCTCACAATTTCTATTCTGTTACTATTTGTTATCTATCTTTCTCTCTCTATCAGCCACATTTTATGTATGTTAAATTTTATAATGTGTTACATTAAGCAAATAAACAATTTTTGTGCAAACTGTGCATCAAAATGTGCAGAAGTATGCTCTCTGTAGAGGAAGTCTTGCGTTATTTTCATATAGAAAATCAACATAACGTAATTTGACCAGGGGCGTGCAACCTTTTGCATACGTCTGTATCTGAGCCCACTGAATCCTGCAGGGTCAAAAACACCACTGATACATATCATGAAAAGTTGTGTACAAACACGTTATTACATTATAGCTCAGATGTAGGTTACATGTAATGGTGAAAGTAAGCTTTTTGTAGCGGGTTCTACAGACAGTAGCCCAGTTGCTTTTTGTGAATCAGAGAAAGAGATGAGCCCCCAAGTCTTGCTGCTGTTCCACTAGCATGCTGCAGACAATTGTTTTTTTTTTAAAGAAATAATACATTTTGTCCCATCGCTTGTGCGATACTGTGTGCGCGTGTATGTTTAAAGCATTTATACGGATACTCACGGCACCGGTGGTACGGGCAGCAGCAGTGGTGCGGCTCCTCCGTTGCTGACAGGGCTGCAGGCTCCGGGCTCCAGAGCCGCCCGCAGCTTCTTCCCCGACGAGCGGCCCAGTGAGGAGCTCAACTTGCTGGCCAGTTTGCGCGGCGTGCTGCCCGCTGAGTAATCATCCTCCGAACAGCAGCTATAGAGCTCCAACCTCAGCTCAAAGCCTGGGCTCGCTTCATTACTGCACACAAGAAAGTGCATGTACACATCTCTGAGTCATTACATATTCTATGTGAGGACACCACTTCATTTTAGGCCGGTGCCTGGTTATTTGTGGGGTGCTTTTCAAAGCGAAGAATCTCATGCTACATGTTTAGTCACATGTAATCTACATAACAGCACAACAAGAGTGAATAATTGCAGCACTTAGTATAGCATTCAAAAATTTGGAATCATCCAAAGAGATCCAGTTAAAATTGTTGTTCGTTAGTAATGTTAAAATAATACATCAAAGTCTTTTATTTTATTACTTTATTCAATAATAACTTATATAAAAGTATTCTGGAACTGGACATATAAACCATAAAAAGGTATTTTATATGTTTTATTCAGTATTCCACGTACTTTTGGGAACAACTAAAAAGTTAAAATGATTAAATGATAATTACTATGTGAGGATCTATTTAGACTTTTTTGTCTTTATTTTTTTCATTATAATTTTCATTCTTGATGTTACACATCTATTCCAGTTATTTTAGAATCATGTACAGCTCTGTTCATAATCCTGGACATACATAAGTTTACTAGATTCATTTTACACACGTATCTGCAACAAAATAGTTACATATTAGTGAAAGCATTGATTGAAATAAAGCTAGTCTATATTTTCCATAAATAGGGAGATGCCAATAACCTACTCTATTTGGACTCATTTCTTTAACCTAGATCAAGTCTAATTTTAATCTCACAGAGTAATGCTCCAGCTCTAGGATTGATCAGGCCCAAGAAATAGGTCATACTCAAACACAGACTTATACATACTGAACACAGCAGGCGTACTAAAGCGTATTGTAAGGGCAGAGTTTAAAATTTGGTTTATGCCACCCACACACAGAGGTAGGCTTTAGATGATTCATAATTCCCTAATACAAACACACACACAGCTCATGTAAACCGAGTGGAAAAGTGTCATGTTTGCATGGCCTTGTACATGATTTATGCAGTAAACATTTCTGTGAGGAGGGATATTTAGTGTATACGTCACCAAATAAGGCACATGAACTTACAAGACTATAGTGTTGTCGAAGCAGATGTCTGTGAGGGTTCTGTCCACCATCACCATGTCGGTGTCAAAAATCTCCCCTCCTAACTGCAGCAGACAGAACACAGCACAGCGGTGCAGCTCTGAGAGAGAGAGTGAGAGAGAGAGGGAGAGAGAGAGGGAGAGAGAGAGAGAGAGAGAGAGGGAGAGAGAGAGAGAGAGCGCGCAAGAGAGAGAGCGTGAGAGAGAAAATGAATAAGGCAAATGCAGTAAACAGACCGACAGTGTCTTCCGACTGTAGCTCTGTAAATACACCAGTCAGTATTCTTAAATTAAACTCAGGGTGTTAAAGCTTCACATTTTCAGGCTTGATGTAGTATTACTATACGTATTAAAAATAAAATACTGAAAGGAAAAATACAGTTGGATGGGAAAGTTTGAACACTCTTGGTCCAATGACATGTTTTGTTGATTTTCTAATCTAAGTTAACACACTCAATTTTAGAGAACAAATTTCTATATATTTGTTTAACATATCTGAAAAAAAATTTAAGTATAAAATGTGCCATAACTTTTGCAAAAGTCACACTGTTTGTTTTGCAGCAAATAAACAGTAATTGTGTATTAAAAATGTGCAGAAGTGTGTTCTTTGTAGAGGATGTCAAACTTAGAAAATCAACAAAACGTCATTTGATGGGGTGCCCAAACTTTTGCATACAACTGTACGCATATAATTTGCACTCCTGACCAATTTCTGAGGGGGTCCCCACTGTAGCACTGTATACCTCTATGAGAAACAGCTGCACAGTGACATTCTACGTTTTTATGCTCGAAGCACCTGCAGACAGTAATACTAAGCATGGGACACCTTTACTCATCCTCAAAATGTTTACAGATTGTAAATATCCAGCTCAATCTGCGTGCTAGTGGGGAATGCAATGTCTTGAAAAAGACCACCGTAGCATATTAATGGAATTTATTTCATAACGATTTTGGAATAAACACAAACACCATGCTTGCAATGCACACAAACTACACCTGCTCTCATAATTTTATACAGTTGTGAAAAAACAACAAAGCCTTTCATCTATGGGACCAATTCATGTCTGTAAATTTCTGTGGTATACAGGAAAACAAGGCATGCACTTCCTGCATGTTCTGTAGCTTTCCCTTCTCCAGCTTTAATAATAATGCGCTGTCACCTATAGAGCTGCAGAAAGTGGTTTGTAAGTGCCTTGTGCCTCAGTCTCAAAAAGAGGCATTAAAAATTAACCATGTGGCACTTGGAATGCATGATAATGGACCACAATGTAAAATTAAGAATGTATGTGTTGCTATGCAAGATGGAGAATGGTTTAAACGTGGCGTATTAAGATCATTTATATTAAGTGTATATACATTTTATTTTTTATTATAATGGACAAATAAATTAGTGACAATGCTTTAATGGAGGTAATCTATTACCCTGATGTGCTAATTATTTTTGATATTGCCAGGCCTAGTGTCTTTGATAATGTGATTTTCTGCTAGCACCCTTGTGGGATTCCAATAGCATGTTTCAATTATTTACATTAATATTTTTTTGGCTGTTCTAGATTAAACACACACATAAAATACATTCCATGTTTATCTGAAGACTGTAACAGGTATTTTAACATTTGTTTAACCATGTATGCTGAAATTTTACAGTGACTCTTTCAGCAAAGTGTCACAAACGAACAGAGCTGCTGCCACTGTTTTTCATTACTTCTTTTTCTTTGGCAATTTTTCTCCCCAGTATTAGTCAGGTTCAGTTCTAGCTCCAGCTAAGTCTTCTTTCGAGGGTAAAGGCTAGTAGGAGCTTCCTCTGAGTCATCTGAAGCTCCACCAGATCTCTTTCAACTGCTGCTAACACAACATTATTGGACAGCTCAACACACTTGGAGGAGAATGCTTACAGACAGTTTTGTTACGTCAGCTAACCATTTCTAACATCTGACTGAAAAGCACTGGTCAGGCTATCACTCGGATTCACAGTTAGTGACGTATCTAGGACTTCCAGAAGGTATAGAGTGATGGTTTTCTGTTACAAAATTGATCCCACCTATTGAAAATCAAAACGTGATTGATTGATTATTTATGTTAGCGATAAATCTGACGTTATGCCTTCAGTTCTGCTCTGATGTCCTAAACAATGGAAGAGCTTGCATCTGGCTGTATCTACCTACACAGCACAGAGTAAAAAAATGTTAATTTCCCCCTGGATGTTTCAAGGTTTCCAATCAAAACTTAACAATGAAATAAGAGCACTATTACAACACGTAAAGTTTAAAAACAACAGGCCTGATAATGCTAATAAAAAGAAGATTCTAATAAAAAGAAATACGAACTTTCCTACTGACACCATCCTTATGCAAACTACTATCTAATCACAGCAGATTAATCGAGAAGGTATATTTTAATTTTTTAACAGATTAAAGTGAATATAACTGATTAATTATGATACTGCTAATTGTTACGTTTGTTCACATTTAATTGGAGTCTCTGTGCATTGACTCTTACCTCCTTTGTTTTTGAAGTATTCTGTGTCTTTCCACATCAGAGGGATTCGAAGGTCTGTGATAGAAACACACATCCAGAGCAAGAAATCAGACAAGGTCATGACACACACACACTCAAACACATGTGCCCTGTCTCATGCATGATTACACACACACATGCACGCAGACAGCATCTTCGCCGCCACAGATGCTGGAGCTGGCTGTCTCCACAATGTCAATCACGATTAGTATCTGTCGCTCTCCCTCCTTCACTCACACAAACACTCACTCTCTTATCTGGAGGTAGCAGGCAGTCACTGCCAGGCTGTTGGTGTAGGAGGAATAAATGTGAAGGCCGTGCTCTCAATACTGTATCACCCCACTGGACCACCCACTGCATTAAGACTGCATTTATCATACCTAATCTATTCCAGCCTGAGCCGGCCTCACTCGGTCATGCTCTATCTAATTAGGCCACAACTGCTATGCTAGTTAATAAAAATTAATAGATGAAGGGCCATTAGGAGACAATTAAGGGGATAATGACTGCAGTGTATGAGCAACCATGAGATCTGTGTGTGGTCAACATGTCTGTGTATGTGTGAACAGTATAAAAAACAGCCAGCATGCTAGCGTGGTATTTTTAATTCTGCCAGACTTACGCGTAGATTACAAAGAGAATGAGTTTATTCAGCAAGGCTGCAGGGTAAAGAGTGCTTAAGCTGCCCCCCTCCCCCACCACACACACATACACTTAATAGAACTTCATAATAACTTTATAATTACGCCCTTCACACCAGGTCAGCCTGGGGGCAATCTTTCAATGGATAAATATATGCATATACGCACACAGGGTCATTTTTATACCTTGTAAGGCCGTGGTATCTTGCACAGGCCCCATATGCTTTTTATACAAAACATTTATGTCATATGCAAAAGGCTGAACACCCCCAGTCAAACTACATAAGGAACAAATGTAAATCTATGGCATTTTTATGCAATACCGCACAATTTATATTTTTTTGCTGAGTTTAACATTATGTTTTTTGTTTCCTTTCAATATATGTTAAATTCAGCAAATAATTGGGCATTAAAATGTGCAGAAGTGTTCTCCATAGAGGATGTGTACTACAGCTAAGGATTTTCATTTTGGTGTATCATCAGTATATTTGTAAGTACCTATATGTAATAATTTGAACCAGGTGTATTTTGTGTACATAATTAATGTATGTGTGTATTTGTATGTGTGTGTGTGTTTAAGTAGCTATATGTAATAAGATTCATTATTAACCTGCCTTACTGCTAAACCTAACCCTAACCTTATCCTCAAACAACATACAAGAACAAACAGTTTTGCTTTTTTGATACAAACTTGTAGCTTTCATTAAAGCATTTTACAATGGAATATTTTGTTGGGTCTCTAGGTTAGCCTTGTTTTTCTCTAGTTTTCCAACAAAGTCGCAAAGGCTTTGTCCACACACACACACACACACACACACACACACACACTCATATCATGCAGTCATGCAGACAGACAGTGGATAACAGCCAGAAGTTACAGGTTGTCATGGCTTTGACCAGTATGAGGGAGAAGGGAGTGAATATTATAGGGTGTGGAGGGGAGAGACAGACTGTAAAAGAGTGGGTGGTGATCTCATAAAAGCCCACCAGACTGCAGACTGCACAGCTAACAAATAAACCAGCAGGGTAGTCTCTTAACACAAAGGACCTCAATGAGGCATCAGGAGTGCACCACACACACACATACACACACAAATAGATGTATACATGAAGACACTGCCGTCACCTAAGCAGAAGTAGTGAAAGTGGTCTATATAGAAGCTGAATATTGTTTTACAACAGAGGCTCTGTTCATACCTGCTTTTATTATCCATCTCAAGTGACCTAATCACAAGAAGACAGTGAGATGTAAAGCCTTTCACACCTGGCATGTCCATGTGTCTCGAAAGCATCTTGAGTGACCATTTATGATTGTATCTTGTGACTGGAGGAAGGATGCTGTGAATATTTACTACGTTGGTGTCTTGCTATATTTATTGTCAAGTAGAAAAATCCTGCAAATCCTTTTGAAGTTTTGAAGTCCTAACAGATTATAAAAAGAATGGGTATCTCACAATATCCGACTGGTTTCTGCAGATTTTTTGGGCTACTTAAATATTGTGGATCATATATTAAATGACTTGGGATCACACACTACACAGCTTAAGTTGTTGCTGAACTGAACCGAACTCAAACAACTTGCTTGAACACACGCGTTCTCCTGTTACTAGGAGATGCAAATAAACAAACAGAGCAGTTTGATGCTGCTGCTTTTGCCGACATTTGTGTTGATACAGTAAAGAAGCAACAAGTAAACACATTTAAGTGAGGGTCATGGATGTAAAGATACGATTAGCAGGGTAGTTTTAGTTTCAGATGTACGTACACTTGATTGTGCTCGTGCCTTAAACTCAATTCATTAAAAAGCTTCACTACAAACGTGTTGTCATTTTTTTTCTTTTACTAGTTGTATTTTTTTCTTTCAGTCTCAGTTTTCATTTGCTATAAGAGATCCATTCAGATTAAGTCACTGACCAGTATACACTACCAGATTATGCTCAATTTGAGCTGAGTTACAAAAAATTAACCAGGAAAAAAAACAAACAAACAAAAAAAAAAACGTTTGATAAACTCTAACTGTTATGAAACGCGATCATCAGTGCTCGTCGCACACTACTTGGTTTTCTCTACCAACGGTCAATGCAGACTGCTACAAAATCTGTAGACCAGCGCAGACTAAGAACCAGGGCTAAAATCAGTTAAAAGTTGTGCAGTGTAACCCCGGTTTAACATAACTTGTAAACAAATAAGAGGTGCAGAAAAAAACACTGTTCCTTTCATCTGTGCTGTGACAATGCAGTTTATTAGGCAGTCCTTTATTGTTGTCGGGGATGTACGGAGACACTTTTAGTATGTACACTACAAATGTTTGCCTATGTGGTCATATACATCCCTGACCACCGCCAAAGGGAGGTTTAGTGATCAGATCCTACAGGACACACTGGACCCTGTTCACACTTGTACTTATCACTGTCACCCACTGTCGGATCATCCAAGACACTGTTAATGTCAGGTGTGAACAAGGGAACTAAATCATTTCAGTGTTCAGAAGCTGCTACTGACTAGTTACGTCTGTCAACTTACCTGAAATTGCAACTTTTCCTTTACATGGAGATCGGTCATCCATTGGGCCTGCATCTGATGACCTGAAACATAAAATCACTATGAAATACTGACCTCATAACACATGTTTACTGATGTTTAAACTCATCCCAGAGAAGACTGTCATCGGTACCTTATATGATGGTCACAGCGTTTAATAGTTAGAGTGGGTCTCCGCAATATAGACAAAATGCCACACTGCGATTATACTGCTACATACTGTGATATGCCCTGCAAAATATTGTGAACGCTCCACACAATAAAACATTTTGTGATTGAACAGAGGCTCAACGTGAAGGTTGACAGTAATCGCGATTAACCAGCAATACACAATGGTACAATGTATTGCTGGTTGGTCTTGCCTTGTTTGGATTAGGACATGACTGTGACAACAGTCAACAAGTCAGCAAGTGAACTGTAACTGACCTCTAGGCAATTTTCTAACTTTGGCTAATGCATGTCATGTGCTTTGGAGTTCCTCAGTCACCTCTGCTTTATCTGTTACCATTTTAGGAAACTGCATGTTTTCTAGGAATGAGTAATCTTTGTTTCCTCATTTGTAAACAAAACAAACAGCAGTTGTACTTGTACTGAACTCACTAATTATAGATCAAGCTTTAAACCTTATGAAAAGCCTGACCTTTTGCACTACAGTTCATGACTTGTTGAAGCTGGATTACTAATATGAATTTAGAACTTCATGATAATCTAATTTGTCACCAATATCGACATTGCGTTCAATTTTATATATTTTTTTATTTGATACTCAATAGTTCTACAACTGCTTCATTGGTAACTGTTCTTTGACAACAATGCAAATGGCAAATGGTTCAGCTTGGAGAGTCAGCGGCCAATCAAACCAGGCCTTTTAATTATTTCACTTTATTTATTTACTGTTTAACTAACATTATCACTTATTGCCTGTATGAATACAACAGTAATGAATGATGGTTCCTTTTCCCTTTATGTTCCATTTACTGTTATTGAGGTACTGTGCTAAAATATTTACTGCAATAATTATACTTCATGTTGCTTAACTCTACATGAACTGAATTAATCTTCCACAAATTAGCCACTGCACTGGACAGAATTAAATCAGAGCTTATACCTGCGTGCCACCCGCTGCATGACCTGTGCCTCCTTCATTCGCTGGAGCTCAGACATGTAGGCCATGATACGGGAGTTGCATGTGAGTAGGCTCTTTGAAGCCTCCAGAGCCTGGTCTTTCTGAGAGCAAGCAGCCAGGAGCTTGCAAGCGCCCTCGCGCATTCGGATCTCATAGTCAATCTTCTTCTGAATGTCGCTGTCCTGAAAAATAGAAAAGTAGAGGCTGTTGTCAGTTTTATTACAACAAGACACTGTTAAAGAAACCTTAACCAGGAAGTTTTACAGGTTTAAACCAAAAGGACTCACTATTTACATATTAGTTTCATCGCACTTATGGAATCATTAATGGTAGTTCCTGAATAGAAGCGTAAAGATAAGTGAATCAGTAAGCCTGTAGTTCAAGGCGTTAAGGAATATAAGTAGTCATAAAGAATCCTATGGACAGCTAGAAGCAACAAGAATATGCTAATCAATGCACATCATCACATGACCTAAACATAACCTTCCTAAATGCTTCCTAAATGTTAAACTGATCCAGATGTGGATTTTAAATTTTTCAGCTAATATTAAAGCAGCTCTAATATTATTTAACATCTCTAATTTCAAGCTAGACTTATAACCCAGCACAGTTATTTTACATATTATTTTATTTTGCAGTTATTTTACATATTAGGAAAGGTCTATATGGAAAGTCTAGTTGCCAACAAGAGGTCTGCACCACATAACACAAGACAAGACCATAGAGATTCTCTAAAGAACCACTTGCATGTAAAATCATTTACAGGCCTAAAGACGCAAGCACACATCCCCCTCCTATAAAAGCATGCCTCTACATCTTTACTGACTGTGAAAACAGCCCAAAGACAAGACTGCATGACCGCCTACTCCATAATAGGCAAAGTCCCAACACTGAGTGTCTCAGTTCAGTCACGCATAAAGCAGGGTGAAGTGTCAATGGCACAGAAAAACTTGGCCAGCTCTAGTACCTTTAGGTCACCCCCTGCGAGGCAGACATTAACATGCTGAATCATTCATGTTCCACTGTGGAACTGTCAAAGCAAGGAACCACACCCTGTACCCTTGTGTTTTCCCAGGGGCCTAGGAGGATTTTAAGTGCAGTGGAGATGGCGAATGAGTCAAAATCTAAGCTGTGGATGTTACAGCGGGGAATGAATTACTTGTGGCTTAAGTAGGGCAAGACAAGAGCAGGAAAGTAGGGGTAGACAATATGAGTTGATTTTTACATCAAGATATTTTTCATTTTCTAAAGAATAACGACAAAACTATGGTATATAAAGTCAAAGTTTTTTTATATAGCGCTTTTTACAACAGGTGTTGTCACAAAGCAGCTTTACAGAACAATCCGGGTCCAAGCCCCCATGAGCAAGTCAATGGCGACAGTGGCAAAGAAAAACTCCCTAAAAGCAAGCTCCATGGTGGTCAAACCGGTCCAGAAGGCTGGCAAGCAGTGGGCAGTGTGGTAGTATATAAAAATACTACCACAGCTACTGTTACTACTACTGCAACAGTTGCTAATAGTGCTACTAATACTGCGACTGCTACTACGACTGTTATTGTTAATACTGCTACTACGACTATTATTGCTACTACTTTTGCTACTGCCACTAGAGCTACAAAAGCTGCTGTGTCTCATAGTTAGTATTAATAATTCTAACACTACTACTGCTGCTATTGCTACTGCTAATATGACTAATACTATTACCACTACTGCTGCTACTACTATTCTTATTTCCTATACTACTGCTGCTGCTGCTTCTGCTACTGCTACTGCTACTACTACTACTACTACTACTACTACTACTACTACTACTACTACTACTACTACAACTACAACTACAACAATTATTACTTTTGCTACTGCTACTACTTCTGCTAATACTATTCCTCCTATGGCTACTTCTACTACTACTGCTACTGATAGTTACTACTACTACTAATGCTACCACTACTACTGCTGGTATTGCTACTGCTAATACTTCTCCTGTCATTGACACTACTACTGCTACAGCTGTTATTATTACTACTAATGCTACTATTGCTACTGCTGACAGTGTGCCAACATAACACCAGCCAAAATATAGCAAAATCAATATCAATATTTACTTTTATACCGCTATACCCCAACCCCTAAGGGAAAGGGTGATGTGGCATGAAGATAACTGTGGAAAAACGAGCGAGGAAAGAGGAGAGAAACAGAAAGACAAGAAAGAGAAAGAGGTGACTAATGGCTTTCTCTTGCGGGAGATTAGCCAGAGCGAAGTGGCACTGAAATTACTGCAAAGCAAAGAGTCCAGTCCAGTCAGCAGAACTGAAAAATGCACACTGAGTTTTCGCGTTTGCAGCAACAAGAGCGAGAGAGCGGGGAAAGAAGAGAGGAATGGACAGAAAGAATGGAATGACCAAGAACAGCACTGAAAAGAGACAAAGCAGATGCTCCACCTCTGACCTTGAGGCCCCATTTCTAGCTCCTCTTCATGATAAACACTGTGAGGTGTTTTGATGTCCTGGTCCGTCTTTATGCTCTTTTACAATTATACAGTCCACACCATTGCAACCAGTTTGACCACTTAAGAATCCCGACTACTTGTGTTGCTATGGTGATGTCCAATAAACCCTCTATCGGGCAGCAGTTTGAGGAGCTCATTAAGAAGCAGAGAGGGTTCCAATTAAGAGAACACGACTGCTCAACACATGTGCTCCCACACGCACAGACACTCCATTTGAATAATTACTTCTCTCTTTCCAACTGGCTTCCAAGGACAAGTAGATCTAAACATGAATGTCAGTGATTTGCTGTCAGCTTTTCAAGTTCAGTAGACTATAAAGACATAAAAAAGTCTGATGGCCAATTATGACACATTAAAAGTCATTAATGCTACGCACGGTCCTGTTAAAGTAAACAAGATGAAAGCATGAGGCAGTCGTCATGTATCTTGTTTCGAGAGTTGCAAATCAGGCTTGGGCGAGATCAAAGAGCCTGCCAAAGATGGCAAAACCACTGTTGCCACCCATCTAGAGCAGATCTGATTGCATTCAGCCACAATAAAATTAGTTGGGTCAGGTACTGATTAGGTATGTAACAATTCACAAAACTCATAATTCCACTGGAAATACAGAGGTGTCTCATTCTGATACACTTTGATAGCCACAAGCTAAACAGGCTAGTCACAATACAATGATTCAATACAATCCGATGCACAGCAATACAATATGTTGTATTGTTACATCTCTAGTACTGACATTGAACTCAAACTCATCCCAAAGGTATTTGATGGAGCACCATCATTCCAGAGAATGCAGTTCCACTGCTCCACAGTCCAGTGCTAGGGGTTTTATAACCCTCTCGCAGACACTCTGCATTGGGCATGGTGACCATAGGCTCATGTGTGGCTGCTCCAAAGTGTCCCCTTCTATTAGCAGTGCTTTTCTATGGGGATCATATGTGCTACTTGTGCGCAGTTGAACGTCTGATTCAGCAATGGAGGCACCTTAAAGTAGTAGAAGCAGTGCATGGCTACGAACGGACAGATGTGTATATAAAACATACGTTTTTATCATTTCAGAAACACAATGTTCAGTTATGACAGTGAGGATATGAAAACCTTCTGGTGTCTGAGGAGTGGAAAAGGAGGAATGCTAAGAGAGCCAAAGGGAGAAAAACCAAGTGAGGGGCTGGATGGAAAGAAATACAACAAAAAAAAGCACGCAATAAAGAAAGAAAAGTGAGCATGTGAGCACTGGACTTCTAGCCTTGGAGCATCACGTGACTCAGGCAGAACAGTAGCTCCCTTCTGAGCCAGCCAAAGGCCTCCCAGTATTTATAGCAGTGAAATTGCCAGGCTGCTCTGGGGCTTTCCCAAAAAACAGTACGAGGCTCAGCTCTGCTTCAGTAATAATGACTTTCCATGCCACCATTTGATCCGCTTGCACACAGACAAGCTCTGCGACATCCCCCCGTAAACATTCCCATGCGAAAAAATACTCTAATGCAGGCTGACATCTTTTCAGGGGAACAAAAAAACATCAGAAGGCCTTTTGGAAAATCAGGTCTAAGAACAGGCGATGAGCTTTAAGACTAAACGCTTTGTTCTGAGGGAATGTGATTTGCATCAATGCCCCCATGCATTAGGTGAAGTAATGTAAATGCAAATGGCATCTATTTGGATGGAAATGATACACTCAGATTCTTAGCAGCTGTTCCAACAGACATACACACAGTCTTGGCACTGCATGTCTACAAATGTACACAGTGTAAGTGGTGTTTAACTGAAATACTGTACTGTGCAAAACTCAGAGACCACCCTTCATTTATTTAATTGTCAGTTAAAACAGCCAAGTTAGTCATTTTTCAGGAGATATTTCTGAGAACATTAGATTTAAGATAATCGACCTGAAAATGAAAGAGGTTAGTCAAAGGAAATTAAAATAAAAAAATGAAATTAAAAGAGATTTATAGATACAGAGGAAATGGGACTCACTCACTAACAAACGTGCAAGATCTGGTAGACCACCATACCTGTCACGATCAGATAAACAGTACTTCACATTAGGGCTGCACCAACACTGTATCGGTATTGGTGCCAATACTGGCACCTAAATGCAGTACCGTGTTGCTGATGGGGAAACAGATACCTATGACCAAGTCCACAAACCAATTTCTGATGGACATGCACGCTGCTGAGTGACGTGTACATGTGTCCCAGTAGACAGAACTTAACACATCGGTGGTCTGGGTGACTAGAAGCAGCAAAAATGCACATGGCAAATGGCAATGTGCACAACGCCAACATTTCATGGAAAAGCAATGGTAGTTTGTGATGTACCAGTTGGAATTCTTCCTAAGGTTTTCGTTTCACTGGTATGTCACAAATGGATCAGATAACACAACATATAAACACTTTTCCTCAAAGGCTGAGCCACTTCTTTCAGTAATCTCCCGGCGTGTAGTCCGTTACAGTCTCAATTCTCTAAAAAATCCACAGGTGCTTCTATCCATCCGTCCACTGTTAGAAGATAACTCAGTGTTGTGGTTCTGAAAGGATGTGTAGCTGTCAAAAACCATTGCTGAGAGAAATAAACAAATAATAAAATCGCAAAACAAACAAAGAAGCTGTTGGTGTTCTTAAAACAATAAGTTGGCCACCCCAGAGCCCAGAACTGAACAATCACCGAATGTGTTT